CTTTTTATTTCTTTCTCACTCCTTTTGTGTTTATTCTTCTTTCTCTACTTTACTTCTTTCTTTCTTTCCTTCTGTTTCTTTGTCTCTTACTTCTTCCTTTCTTTGTCTCTTCTTCTCCTTCTATTTTTTCCTCACTCTCTTTTAATCCTTACTTTCTTCTTTCTTCTTTTCCTTCCTCTTTTTTTTACTTAACGTATTCTCTTTCTTCGTCTTTTATCTCTTCATTTGCTCATTTGCATAAAAAGAACTTTTCATTTTTTCATCTAAAATGTTTCTTTACATTCTTTTTCATTTCTTCCTCTCTTCTTTTGTGTGTATTCTTATTTCTTTCCTTTGCCCTTTTTTAAAAATTTCCAGCAATAAACTTCTTTTCTCTCTCGATCTTTCTTTTCCTTCCTTCCTTTCTTCCTTCCTTCCTTTCTTTCTTTCTTTCTTTCTTCTCCTTATTTTCATTTATCGCTCGTGTCTTCAATTTCTTTCTGATTATATTTTTTTATCTTTTCTAATCTTTTAAGCAAATATCGATTCTCTGCCCGAGAGTGAAATAAAGCGGAAAAATAATTGGAAAAAAAATAAAAATAAAAATGATTTGAAATCGAAAAAGATAGAATTCTGCCTGCCTCACTAACTGAGTGACCTGTACAGTATCTATTCATCTTCCTCTTCTTAAACCTTACCTCGTTTATCCTTTTTCTTTTTCTTTTTTTTATCTATTTCTGTCATTGCTATTTTCTCTTTTTCTTTCACTTTTCCCTTAAAAAGCTGCTTTTTGGAACAGACTCCCATGTGTATGTTTTCCCGAAAGCTACAATCATAAATCAAGTCGTTATCTGTCCACCATATTTACAAAATATTCACTTACAACTTCCTGATGTTATATTAATGTCTCATTCAGCAACCGTATAATTTGAATCGGTTTACGGGGTTGTGGGCTTGCGGCCAAATCACATCGGAACAAAGGGACCCATCCGATAACCGAAGTCGAACCTCGTCAGTACCGACATGGATGACCGCTTAGGAATGCCACGTGCTGTAAGCTGGATAGTGGCTCGGAATTGTTAATCGGAAATCCGGTTTCTAATTCCATTTGGGTTCGTTATGTTCACTTTCAAGCAAATACCCTTTTTGAAAGTTATGAATACACCTTTTCTCTCCCCTAGCTATGAAATATTTCTTAAGATTTATTTCATTTTGGTTTAATTTTGTGTATATTTTGCTTTTTATTCTTCTTTTTCTTCGTTTTTTTTTTTATCGTTTTGCGTTTTTTATTTTTTTTTATTTTTTTGCTTTCTTTTATTTTTCTTCATTTTTTTTTATTTTAAATAAATTCTTTCTTTTTTTATTATTTTTGAATATATTATTCGATTGTTATTTCTTTGTTAAATACTTCCTGCTTTTTTTTTCAAATCTTACTCAAAACATTTACTTCTTTATTCGTTTTTGAAAACGTCCTTCGTTTCTTTTCCAAACATGTCTTTTCGTTTAAATTCTCTCCCGTTAGCAAAGCTTCTGTGTTGAAAATCACAATAGGAAAAAACATCGAACTACGATGCAGAACGAACAACGCCATAACTTTGGGCGTAGAATAGTTTAAGCAAAAGAATTGTTTGCAAGTCCCATGGACTTATGTAAAAAAATACATAACGATAATGTGCTTCTGCGTAAAATAAAGATTCGTAGACTAGTTGAATAATCTGTTGCTATTGTAATAATTGTGCTCCTTACTTATTGATAAATTTAAGCTTAGAAAAAACATTCACGTTTATTTTCCTTAAAATATTATTCAAAATATAAGGCACATATAAATCAATATCGTTTTCAGTTCGATCTCGCTGCACATATATATAACCTTATATATATATATATATATATATATATATATATATATATATATAAATGCATATTTAATTAAAGACAACATTACAAGGTCCTGAGATAAAGTTTGTTTTTTAGTTTTCCTTGTCAGTCGTCCCTAATAAAACCTGTATAAAAGAGGAATTACTACCCAAATGCATAACTATATACACATATGTATGTGTGTGCGTGCGTGCGTTCGTGTATATATAATATGTATATATATATATATATATATATATATAAAAGGTAAAAGTGTGTGTGTGTGTGTGTGTGTGTGTGTGTGTGTGTGTGTGTGTGTGTGTGTGTGTGACGAATGCACGGCCCCAATTTTCGACGGATTTGCACCAAAATTTATATGCACATGTTCCAAGTTAGCGGAAAGGCCAAGACTGACTTTGCATTTCCCAACTCCCAGCGATAGTGGAAATAATCGATTTTTCATGCTTCTACGGCAGTTTTCATGTAGTTTGCGGACATTTTCTACTGGCTAGAGTGTGAGCCTATGGCTGGCTGCCACGAATAGGCAGGAAGATTCTATTGCTCAGCGTGAGAGCCAACAGCTGACTGACACGAATGTTAACTAGCATGCTAGCTGGTAAAAAATCGATAGCTGCATTCGTCACAAGTGGGAAAAATTTAAATC